AAAAAAAAGGGGGGGGGCTCTCCATTTTGGAAATTGTAAAAATAACAGTTGCCCTTCATTTTTCATGAGGCATTGCTGGAAAAGTTAGAAGGTTTTGGTGGAAATTTTCAGTTCGGAGTAAGAGAATAGAGGTGGTAAGTCACTTAAGAGGAAGATAGAAATTTTTCCACTTGAAAGCATATGTGGATGTTTCAGGGCGGAAGCAATTAAAAAGATACTTTGACTTCCCAGTTGCAATTAAAAGGGATACACAGAAAATTATGATGACTTCTTATTGAAGCATGAGTCACCCTCTTTTGCAAAGTAGTTTTAAGCATCTGTCTGTCTGGCAAGTCACTATGCCTATTGCTGTTTTATCTAAGCAGCTCAATATTCAAAAGATAGTTCTGAGATTGAAAAGAGACAGAGAAGGATTTCTCCTTGTCATGCAGCTACTTAGATATTACTGTGATGGGTGCTAGGAATACCTGTGTAGTGCTAGGTAGGCAACAAAGATGATCTTAAATAGTGAGATTCATGTATGGATGAGGAAGTGCTCAAAGTCAGACTTTGTAGCCTTGAACAGAAAGGATTTAGTTGAGATTATAAATTAATTCTTGTGTCAGATAGATTACATCTACACTGCAGTGCTATTTTGCGATACTGAGCTTTCCCTAAATAACTATCCCGCGTCTTAACAGAAAGCTCGTTATTTCAAAATATCCCAGGCTCACTATTCCAACGTCCCTATAAACTCATTCCACGAGGAGTAAGGGACGTTTTGGAACAGTGGAAACATTGAAATTTGATGCTGTGTGGACAGCGCCAAATTATGAAATAAGCTATTTCAAAATAAGATTAAAAAAAGATACACAATTTGCGTAGCTCAAATTGTATATTTTATTTCAACCTATCATGCAGTGTAGATGCACCCCTAGAGATCACACCCCATTCTTCCCTTCTTCTTGCCTATTGAGCCAAGGGGTCTCTAGATGGAATGAATGGCAAGTATGTATTTGCTAACTAGAAGCACCCCCATGGGAGATGATAGAGTAAAAACACTGTAGATTGAATTAACAAGAAGCTGGATAATTTTATGGCTAGCTACCAACCCTAGGCAGCATCCCACACATGCTAAGGCAAGGAAATTGATATCTTGTGCTTCAGTTCATAGTGATCATTGCAACAGGACAGCAGATTGTCCCTTCACAGAATTGCACAGCTGCATTGAAACTGACCATATTATTAATTCAATGAGAGTTGTGGTTGCACAGTGCCTCTGAGAATCAGATCAACAGGGACTTCCACTGTACAGTGCCAGACCACTGAGTCATCTTAAGAGAAAAGCAATCAAATCTTATTAACTAATTTTCAGAGGTGCTATGCACCCCAGTCTCCCAATAGGAGTTCTGGATGATCAGCATCTCTGAGAATAAAGCCATGTGTGTAGTTCTGAACATGTCTGAACAGTCAGAATTTGCAGTACTAAGTCAAAAGATGATTTCCTTTAGGAGTTTGTCCACAGATATTTGTTCTTTTGTTCTAGAAAGAGGGAACCCATCAGCAAACAGGGGCATACCAGGAACATTAGACATTTTTTTTGAGAAAATGTTTTGTGAAACATCTAAAACAGTGGTTTCCAACCGTGGGGGGTCCATGGACTATGTCTAAGATTTCCAAAGGGGTCCACACCTCTGTTCAAAATCCTTTAAGGGTCTGCAAATGAAAACAGGTTGAAAGCCACTGAACTAGATGTTTCAGATATTCAGATGGGCTAACATGTTGTCATTTTAAAAAACGAAGCTCAGTCTAGAAATTATCGGCCAAATTCTGCCCCCCCCCCCTTATGCCCTCATCCTGCACTTAATGCCCCAAGGAAACCCATGTGCTAGCACAAGAGATACATTAGGCATTGGATTCAGTGAACATTGCTACTCCATGGAATTGGGTCAGATTCTCAGTTAGTGTCAATTCATGGGTTTGATTGAGAAATGCCAGTTTATATATATATGAATGTATGTGTGTGTATATGCACACACATATACTCATATATATAAACTGGCATTTCTCAATCAAACCCATGAATTGACACTAACTGAGAATCTGACCCAATTCCATGGAGTAGCAATGTTCACTGAATCCAATGCCTAATGTATCTCTTGTGCTAGCACATGGGTTTCCTTGGGGCATTAAGTGCAGGATGAGGGCATAAATGTTTGAAGGCATAAATGTTTAGTTTCTCTTCAGGAGGCGGGAATGGCCTGTTTATTAATTGCATTGTTAACTGCAACGTAGACCTGACCTGTCAATGAATAATGCATTCATGAAACGTGAGGAATGCTAGGCTGCTCTCGGCTGCTCTTGCGTGTTCTGTAGTCAGTGCCCTGAAGATTAGTCATTCTGGCACCTGTTAGCAAGGAGAGTTTCTCTGAAACACGAGCTGAAACATTGGTCTTTATTCCTCTCAGTTATTGTGGTGAAAGTGCATTGACTACAAGAGATTTACACAGTGTAGAGGAGAGGAGAGTTTGCCCCAGTGAATCTAGTTAACTGTAGATATATATGTGAGTTGCCAAATTTGGTACAATCAAACACAGGAGAGTGAGCCCTTATGGCTCTCTACTCAGACAAAATATTGTCCCACTCCTGCAATTGGATCCATACAGACAGAGCCTCGGATACTCCCAGAGCATCTTTGAAGCCAATGGGAATCCAGTAGGAGCCGGTGGCATGCATCTGATTATGGGATCAAGGCCTAAGAGGTTAAAGTTCTCTACATTGAACACAAAGAAATAATCAGATGGCTCAATTCCTATGTGTTTCTGAGAACTCCGTGGTAACATAGCTAAGGCATTACATGTTGGCTTGTGCCAGGTCAGACTGCAGTTGAGCATTTCTTAGGAAAGGGACAGTCCCCTAATGTGGTGTTCAGCTATCAGAGCCCTAGTGCTAGTGAGATCATAACAGACAATATTGGTAAGGCTAGTACTGAAGACCTGATGCCAGGCAAGAAGCATACCTGCCCAAAGGAATTAGCGATCCAGAGTGCCCGTGGCAGATTATGATGTTGCATGAGAACTGATGTTGCCTATGGACTATAATGGACCCTAAATCTTTGCACCAAGACTCTAATCCAGCAGAACAGTTAACCACATGTTTAACTTTAAGCCAACAAGAAGTCTATTGATTTCCATGGGATGGCTGATTCATTTAAATGAAGCATGCCTTTAAATGCTCAGTTGGATTAGGGCCCTAATTCTCATTTTAAAGGCCCAATTTTGCTTTTGGATTCTCTGATGCAATCAAATTAACATCAGTGGTTAAACATTTTCCTCCATCCCTATCTATATGTGGGTACGTCTACACAACAACATTATTTCAAAATAACTAGCGCTATTTTGAAATAACTTAGCCCACGTCTACACAGCAGGCAGTTATTTCAAAATAATGTCAAAATACTGTCAAGCTAGAGGACTTCTTACTCCAACTCTTGTAACCCTCAATGTACGAGGAGTAAGGGAAGTCAGAGAAAGAGTGATCCATTTCAAAATAAGTGCTGTGTAAATGCTCACTATTTCAAAATAAGATACGCAATTGACATAGCTCAATTTGTGTAGCTTATTTTGAAGTAAGCCCTGCCGTGTAGACGCACCCTGTGACCTGAATTTGCATCAGTGGGGCCCTAAATAATAAGAAAACAACAAGAATAATAACTTGAAACCGCTGTGTGATTCTCTGTCATGTATGGCATACCCTGCAGGAGATACTGAACAAACACAAATTTCTATCACATCAACAGTGAAGAATTATTCAATTTAAATAGCTCTCAGCTTAGGCAGGATTCCATATCCAAGCTAAAACTGGAGCCTTCAGAAACATCCACCTTTCCTAAGAGAACTGCATTTCTCAGCCCTCCGTGCCTGGGAAATCAATCAAATGCAGCGTTAGTGTCATATGGCTCCCTAGCCGGTGGGTGAGTGAATCAACAACAAGGACAGATGCTTGGGAATGTTTAACACTAGAAAACATTATATTGAGACAGAGTGTCTCTGTGAGGATGATTTATGTGTATAGAATATTCCTTCAAAAGGAAAAACATTAGGAAAGAAATATCTATTAAGTCATTTGGAAAATAATAGAGTCACTGTTGCATTGTGCTGTCACAATGGCTTATCTGGGTTTAGCTTTTCCTGTTATGATCTACTTAGTTAAAGGGTTTCTCTCTTTCCCCAATTGAATCCGGGTATACATGTATGAGAACATATGAGCTTTGATATGATTTTTAAATAAGACTTTTTAGTTATAAAGTAACACGGAACTACATTTCACACAGGTTCTCCCTCAAGCGCCCTAGACTTTATTTAAGAAATAAAACTATATAGACCTGAAAAGCCAGATCCTTAGCTAGTGTCAGCTACATTGATTTCTGATTGATGAGGATATAACCCAAAATATCTAGCATGCTGCTCTGATAGTGTCTGAATTTCTGTGTCTGAATTTCTGAAAATCTGATTCTGTGTCTCATTGTCTTGCAGGGCAGCCAAAGGCATCTCCTACTGTGCACCTCTTCCCTCCATCCTCGGAGGAGCTGCAAACCAAGAACAAAGCCACCCTGGTGTGTCTGCTGGGCAGCTTCTACCCCGGCTCCGTCCAAGTGACCTGGAAAGCTGATGGCAAGCAGATCTCCACGGGAGTGGAGACCACCAAGCCTTCCAAGCAGAGCGACAACAAGTACATGGCCAGCAGTTACCTGTCTCTGGATGCATCCAAGTGGACGTCCCATGATACCTACACCTGTCAGGTGACACACGATGGCAAGACCCTGGAGAGGTCCCTGAAGCGATCGGAGTGTTCGTAACCCTCTGACCCCAAGGGGCGCAGCCGGTGCCCACGTCAGCCCGTCGGGGGCTCCCAGAGGAGACGGGATCTCCTAGCGTGGCCATGATGCTGATTTCCAGCAAATCTCCTTCCTCTTCTGCGGGTGGGATTCTATTGATCCACACGACACCTGTCTTTGTTCCCTGTTCCCCTCTGCTCCCACCCCCGGCAATCCCTGGCCAGTCCCCCCTGCTGTAGTCTCCCATGCAGCCTTGTTATGTCATTAATAAAACCAAAACATTCGACTATCGCTGTGTGTGGGGAGCTTCACTTCTTGTGTCCCTTTTGCACCTGGTGTGTTCACTGCAAGAGTCACCTCGTCAGCCAGCCAGACAAACTCCCCTTCCCGCAGCCAACATGGATTTCTGTCCAGTGAGGGTCTCACTAGGGAGATATGTCTTGGTGGGGGGGCTGTTTCCCAGGCTGGGCCTGTTCTCCCCTAACACAGGTCACTCTTGCTATCAACAGACTCCTGTGGGGGACAGCTGCTGTGGCACAAATCTCTGCACAGCGTACGCTGTGCCAGGGGATCGCTGGGTGAGAGTGGGCTGCATGAGAGCGGGATGCAAACCCACGGGGCCTACAGCCAGACCTGCTTAGACTAGCACCCTGGCAGCTCCCAACAGCACCGCAGGGCTAGGCTAGGGCCATGCTCACATGGGTCACCAGCCCTGCCTAGAGCAGTGTGCTCTGTGAGGCAGTGTTCAGTCACCCTCCAGCCTCTCATGGGGCAGATTCCAGCCCCTGCTTCCCCCCAAGCATTAGTCATTCTTCAGGGAGATGCACTGGAGCCACTGGGGCTATTTACTGAACCTCTCTGCACCCAGGGGAATCAGTCCCATGCAGGAAGGGAGCTGTAGTGCCAATGGCTGTTGGAATAGGCTGTAACCAGAGCTCCTGGCCACTTCTGGTCAGTACAGACCCAAACCCCTCTTGGGAAGAGTGTCCATAAATATCCTGGAAACACCGATGTAGTTGGCAGTTCCTTATTAAGGATGTTAAAAAGCAGGTAATTGGCTAATTGTGTACATGATACAATTTGTATCGACTACACAATAGGTACTTCCTGTGCAGCTCTGCAGACAGTCTGTCTCTTCCTCCATTTAAAATGCAGAGCCACAGCAGAGGTACCTTCTGGAGTCAGTGTGAGCCAGACTGAGCAGTCCCAGCTGGCACCAGCTCAGGGACCGCTGCAGCTCTTCATTTTAAATGTAGCAAGAGCCCGGTGGCTCTTATTACATTTAAAATGCAAAGCCACAGCAGGGGTAGCTCCTGGAGCCGGCATGATACAGAGGCATACTCCCAGCTCCCTGGTCTCTGTGGCTTTGCCTGCCCTACCCTTTCCCTCCTACGCACTGTGGAGACATGCTGGGGGGAACCAGCTTTTAAGTTGGCTCACCCCTCCACCAGCTCCTGCTTCCCGTCCTCCTCTTGCTTCCTCTGACACAGAGGCAGCAAGGGGGAGAGTGAGTAGTCAAGTATTCACCTGACTACGTGATAAGCCTAGTCTCATTGGGTAGTTGAATATTCGATTAGACACATTCATCTCTACTCCTTGTGCACTCATCCTTCCCTGCCACCAGATTCATAGAAATATAATGACTTAACTTGTGCTGCTTGCCATCATGTGACATCTGCTTTGTTACAGCCAGAGAGGAAGGCAGGGACCCTTAGGTCCAGTTTGACCAGCCACATAAGTGTGTAAAATGCTTTGGGAGCCTTCACATTCAAGTTACTTTTCGCATTAAATGAGAATGTTACTGGCATTCTGGATCCTCTGGGATCACTCGGACCCATGTTAGTTCAGGTATCCTGCACAGACTGCCTCTTATCAGGCCAGAGCAGTCAGTCCGTGCCCCATTAAACACCCTCAGTTGTGCTGGGGAATCGGTTTCATGAAACACTTGGTACCTTCAGGGGTCTATCATCTTTTCCACACAGCAGCATGCAGAATGCATAAGGCTGGGAAGTTGCAATATGAAGAGTGTTTATCATAGATCCCTGAGGAGTGATGGGCCAGCCAAAAGAGACCTTTGAACATGGGCTCTCCTACAGCCAACAGGCCAAAGAGATAAAGGGATACAGTTACATCACATAGGACATATATACTGTAGGAGAGACATGGACGGATGTCTAGACGGCCAGCCATGCACTCCCATTTTCTACAAAACCAAATGCAGGGAAGATGAGCAGTGAGCGACTGAGGATGAGCATTAAAGGTGGAAGGTTTCTCAATATGAATTTTTTAAACATCCTCATACCACCTGTCACCCTGTACCCCACCCCCACATCCCAACACACACATGACTGTAGCGGGGAGAGTTAATGTATCCAGACTATGATTTGCAGAGCATGGAAAGTGCCGAACACAGAGGGAACACAGACTAAGAGAAGCTTACAGGAGCTTACTAAGCAAGTATGAGAGTGAAGGGATCAGAGGGAGTGAGCAGGGTCCATTCAGTGTTGGCTGCAACAAACCAGGGTGCTAGTTCTTCACACTCCCTTATTGACAAAAAGGCTCTGGGAAGAAATTGATTTTCCTTGCTTCATGTGCATTGGTTGGCCCTGAGGCCTTACAAATCGACCTGCAGGGTGTCAGATGGTCTGAAAACCTACGTGCAGCGCAGGGGGAGTTTGCAAGGTGACGAACGCCACTAAAAGTCTACGCTCAACTCACAGTCAATAGGAATTAATGCGAAGGGTCTAAATGTAAAAGGCACCAGAATGAATGGGGGTTTGGCAGTTGGGGACTTCTGAAAATCCCACTAGGCCCCCACCTCTGTAGTCAGGTGCTTGAAAACACTCTGGCCCCAAGTGCTAACGTCACTTCTGAGAACGGGACGTGGCCTCCCACTGCCCAGGGGATTAGCGCAGGGTCCGAGCCAGAACCACTGCAGTCACAGGCGCTTCCCCACCAGCTCCAGCAAGAGCCGCATCAAGCCTCACACACAGCCCATGACTATTGGGGCAGAGGCAGCCCACCGACGAGGACATTAAGCTGGTGCCATTCGCGCCCCAGGCCGGCCTGTGCGGAGACACCCCCGGCGCTAAGGGGGGTTGGTATTTACAGTCAGAGGGAGGGTCCAGGGCCCTGGCTTCATTCATAAGAAGCCAGCTGAGCATGGACACAGCTCACATCCTAGACGTTCACTGGCCTGGCCTGTGCTCAGAGGGCCTCACACGCCACACGCTGCTGGGCCGCACGCCC